CATGGCAGTCAATTGGGTGCCTTTCCCAAATGTGAGTTTACCTATGGCTCCTCCAGTACTTACACCACAAGTAATAGCATATATTTCTTAACAGAGGTTAAGAAGTGATTACTATTCCATTTTCAGTCTTTCCTAGAGGTACTAGCTGCTCTTCCTCCTCCCTGTCATTCCATAGAAATACTTGTAAATGCATAATTTTGAAGATGTTCCCAGTACAAGGTAGACAGAGTTGTCCAAAATCATTCCCCCAAGGTAATCAGAGTCACTCTCCTTTATTCTACCATTTACATTCTTAGTATCCAGCCTGCAGATAGAGCAATTTCTGGGAGAAACATCATGTCAGTTGCTACCCCGATATACTCTAATACTATGGAAAGGAAGGAAACCCATCATCTTGGGCATAAAAGGATTAATTACCATTATTTTCCTTTACTCCAACCTACTTACCAAATATCAGACTGTGGCTACCTCCTGCTTTCTCACAGCAGGGGAAGTCTTTGTAGTAACCTTCACAATGATACTCACTGCTAATGGAGTTATGTGTCAAGAACTACTTTCAAACCCTTGGGAGCCTTCATTGCCTGGCTCACTTCTTCCCTTAGGAAAAATCTTCCCTTGAGAAGTTTAATGTTAAGGAGGTGGGGGTAAAGGGAGAGGAACATTAGTAGTATTATCATAGCACTGACCAAGCCTTGAAAATTTCATTCAGATTTAATGTATCCACTGTCCCTCTTCCTCATGCTAGGATCAGAATCATCCCCATTAGAGCACCTACAATCTAGACTTTACTGCTTTCTGTTGACCTTGGGCAGGTTAGTAAAGTTTTTCAGAGCTATACATTCCTTACCTGTAAAAAGAGGGGGTTAGAACATGACTTCTAAGGTCCCTAGACTTATGATCCTTTGAACACTACTGCAGTCTAATGATTATCACATTGGAAATAAGAGTCACGTTAAACATCCTTATTATTAATGCCAGGGAATTTAGCTATGCTGTTGCAATGAGTGAATTAACATTTGCCCGTTAATTCAACTCTTCTCCTGAGGTATTTAGATAATTTCCAGAATATTTAGATTATCTGGTGCTGATATCATTGACTTTATTCTAAAGCACAGAACATCTGGGATCCTTTTTTACATATCCCTAAATCAAGGACATAGTCTAGGGTCTGTGAACTTTTTTCAAAAAAAAAATTGATAGCCATATTTCAATATAATTGGTTTCTTTTATAACATCATGTAGTTTAATTTATTTAAAAACATTATTTTGAGATAGGGTCTATAGGCTTTACTAGATTGGCAAAGGGTCCATGACACACAGAAAGGTTAAGAATCCCTGACATACATGGTCCTATTTTCATTCCTATTTGCTTGACTTGCTACTGGTGCCTCTTTCTTAGGTGTGTTAAGCAGAAGTCATTCAAATTGGGGAACCTCCTAAGAGTGGAAAATGTCCGGTTCTCATTTGCCATAAAGCACTGTCTGGTTTTCCTTTTAGTTCCTACCTCATCATTTGTGGTGATTATTTGTATCATACAGGACTGCATGGTCAGCCTGGTCCCTACTCCAAAGGGTAATTTAACATTGCCTTCAAGATGTGCACAGCAGGTAACAGTTTTACATGTACTCTTTGCCTTTTCCTACTAGCCTAGATGGTAGTGGGAAGGGACATTCTCTGTTCCACTTTCTATCTCCAACCTCTAGGATCTCAAAAAATAGTCTTTCCTTTGGCTATTGTGGCAGGGAGAATTCAGGTATGATGCCAGGAAGGACTTTCAAGATGCTAGAAACCCACAGGGCTATAAATTGTAAGAAACAATAATGATTCTTGGAGGTCATTGAATCTATTTTTCTGGAGAAGACTTTTCAAAATAAGAATAGGCATCTACCTGGAATTATATAAATTCTTGGAGGCAGGAGAATGGAGGCTCTGGGGGTCCCTTTCAGAGACTCTAGAATCCCTTACTGCATTTCTTCTATTGATTCAGACATTTATTAACCACTTATACTGTGTAATGTAGCATTCTGTGGACCTCTCTTCACCTTACCACCCACTCCTGGAGAAATAACTAGAAAAAACACTGGACCAGGAATTAGAAGACCCATTTCTTGTCCTTGTTCAGTTACTAATTAGCTATGGGACTTTGAGTAAAGTATTTAAACTTTCTGGGACTCACATTCCTCATCTGTAAGACAAGAAAGTTGGATTAGAGGACCTCTAAGGGTCTGTGATTCTAAGACACATTAAAAAAATTGGTAGTGCTTTGCACATAGTTGACTTGGGACAAATATTTGTTGAACTGAATTGATCATCAGTGTTTCTGCCTAATTATTATGATTCTATTCAATCTATTTGATCAAATCACTGAACACTCAAGACTGCTGTGTGGCAAGTGCTCAGAGCACATCTTCAGTAATTGCTCGCAAGCAGATATTGATGCAGCCAAAAATTGTTCAAAGCAGATATTGATGCAGACAATTACATGCGGCTCAGGCAGAGCCCAGACACTCAACTTTGCAGTCTACTTACTAGGAACAATGACTACTTTGCTGCCTTTTCCAAAAGTAAGTTTGTAGTTTCCTCCAGTTACCCACTGTGGAATCATACACTACAAAAACTACTGCCCTTAAGCTCTAACTTTAAAAGGAGAAAAGGCCCATTGGTAAGATGTGAAAAGATGCATTGTTTTTGAGAAAACTATCAGATAATAATCCATTTCCCTTTTTGGTCTTGGGAGGAAGGATGGATGCTTAACATTTGGAATCAGAGCCCTTTTGGCTAAAGCGTTATGCATCCTCTCTTTGTTGCCTTGTTAGCATGGCCATTGGAATCCTGATGGTGAGGAATTTCCAAATTGTACCACACAATGGCTCACCTTTATTTGGCATTTTAAAATTTACAAAGCATTTTCCTTTCCTCACAACAATCCTGTGATGTAGGTGGTGCAAGTTATTATCCTTATTTTATAGAAAAGGAAACTGAGGCTCAGAGAGATTAAGTGAGTTGCCTAGGATGATACAACTGCTATAGGATGGAGCCAGGAATCAGACTTTGGTCTTAAGTGCTCTTTCCATTACATTCCATAAGATCTTGAAGGAATATGATGGGTTTTCAGTGAGCACCACAAATCCAGAACAAGGCAGGAAAAGGGATGGATTTTGGACCACGAGAGTTTTATGATGAAAACAAGGCGACATGGAGAAGTACACAGGAAGACTGCACTTTGAGAGTTGGGATTCCAAGCAGTTCTTGAGGATCTTAAGGAAATGGGATTCTCACTGTTAGGGATTACTTTCAAATGTTTAATGTAAGCTACTTTTGCTGTAGTGAAAACTGTTTTAATCTTAATCTAGATGGCAGACACAAATACAATGTTTTCAATATACTTTAATATTTTGATTTCATTGGTATGAATACTCTTTCCACTGACACAGAGCTCAGCCCTTCTAAAACTATGGTATTCAGCCATTGGCCATGCTTTTCTAAATCATCACTCTGTGACCAACATGGTGACGAATCTCTTTGAACTTACTCAAGCTGGTTTTGGGGTAACAACTGTACAGTCCACCATTTGGGGTTATACGCAACATCTTTCCTGTTTGCTAAAGACCTACTAGAACTTGTGCTGTGTTGGCACAGTCTTTGAGAATCTAGTGTCACTTCTATACCATAATAAGACACCAGGGCAGGACTTTAGTGGAGGAAATGAGCATCACAAAATATTTCGAAAGATAGTCCTCCGAGCTGTGAATTCATCATTATGGTAATAACATTTATAAAGTGCTTAGCACAGCGTATAGTAGGCACTTGACAAATGCTTGGTTCCTACCTTCCCTTCTCCTCTGCCCATTCAGATCACAACTTCACATCTTAGTCATTCATTTCATGAGCTGACTTGGCAATCTTTCTGGTGATAAACCTCTCCAGATTTAGCTTTGAGAACCATTTGGGTCATGATGCAGCCATCGTGATAAGGCAAACATTAGAATGAGACTTCCATTGTAATATACTTTAGTGTAGACCCCAATGGAAAATAACTCTCCAAATGCTTTTGTTTAGTTTTAAAGCCCCTCCACCAGCCTTCTCCTCTTTAGGCCAAAAAACTCATCCCATTTCTTTGTTGATATTTACTCAGTTGCATTTTCCAGTCTCTTCATTTTTTAAAAAAACAATATTTCTACATCTCTCTCAAGATGTGGAATCCTAAGCTAGACCTAGAGTGTTCTTGTTAATGTCTGACAAAAACTCAGGAACCTTAAGGAGCTTACTTATCTCCTTTAATGACAACCAGATGGTGCCAAATAAATCTGATTCATAGTCCTATTTTGTCTCTGCAAAAAATCTTTTGTTTCAATTGGCCATAGATGACAAGTCATCAATATATTATTATAATGCTAGGGAAGCTGATTCCTTTTACCACCCTTTTCTCTTTCCCCTACTCCCTAATCATAATCCCACGTTACTACTAGAAAATGACCTTCTTAGGCACAGTAGAGTAAGCAGAATCTGGAAAACAATTCACGTGATTGCTGCAGTCATAGAAAGGAACATTAAAAGACTTCAGAAACCTTGCCAACAAACTGACCAGTCGTGACTTCAGGAGCCCAGTGGTGAAGCGGCCTTCTGTCCCTAATCATCAGACATGTGTTGGACCACAGCTGGGGAATGAGGCATGTATTTTCAGATGTGGCCAGTGTTGATTTGTTTTATTTGACTCTGCATATTTGTTACAAGGTAGAGTTTCTATTAGGGGTGGGCTGAATCAGTGAGAAGTGACAGTGACATAGAATAAGAAAAGAATATCAGTAAAACAGTAAACAAACAAAAAAGAACAGAATTTATTCTTTAAAACAGTGGCTAAGTAGCCAGACTTTACCTACTCAAGTCTCATGAATAACTATGAAAAATGAGCTAATGAAGCACAGGTTTAGACTTGGAGTCTATGAGAACAAACTAGGATTCCTTGCACCTTTGACCAAAGTAGAAGATAAGACACTTACTTGCATGGATCTGAAGCCTGGTCCCAGTCCCCCAGATGAGATTTCCAATTCCAGTGTTTGCACTGTGGTTCAGAGCATTACAAAATACCCGTACTTTGCATCACAAGATGGCTGCCTAAGCCCATCTTCCAAGTTCACCATCACATCCCATATAAAGACCTATTTCATGGTTGCTCTGTTCATGAAACTTAGTTTTCCTTTTTTTTTTTTTTAAAGGCAATTGGGGTTAAGTGACTTGCCCAGGGTTACACAGCTAGTAAGTGTCAAGTGTTTGGTCTGAGGTCAGATTTGAACTCAGGTCCTCCTGACTTCAGGGCCAGTGCTCTATCCACTGCGAAAACTTAGTTTTCTGTGTCACTTTAATCATAATAACGCCTCCTAAATCCCCTCTCCCTCATTACACCAATCTCTTCCTTGTCACTTCATTAAATGACTAAAATGTAATTTATGTCCCAGATACTAAAGAGATTGTAGAAACAGTGCCACAGTCACCAGGGGCAAGGAGGCTCATTGTGGGAGGATAGAAAAAGGAAGTCTTATTCCAGAAAGCTATTAGAACCCAGACCTGTTTTCCCCTGAGGGGAAATCCCTATAGGATTTTACGGGCATAGTCTAGGGAGATATCCACTTATGAAGCTGAGAGGAAGAAAACCAAAGGGTCTGGAGGCCACAGGGGCATGGTGGCAAATATTGAACCTCACAGCTTGAGGAAGAAAGTTTCTTTTCCAAAGGCTAAACCATGGGAAAATGGCCTCACTGCCTAGAGACATACTCAGAAACCAGTAGACAAAACCCTTTCCCAATACACTCCCAATAATTTCATTAGATTAGCTTCTCAGCATGAAAGACACAAGTAAACAGCCCCTAAACAACACAAAACTCCTTTATCAGTGGAAAGGAACTTGTCACTGATCCCTCTCAGAGGGCTCATTTCATAATCCTCTCTTTGTCTGAAAAGTTTCCTTTATCATTTCTCTAAAACTCACATGGATAGATGAAGAATCTAGTTTCTCTCCCATGTATGAGAATGTAGCTTCTGCTAGATATACACCCTAAAGGCAGTCTTCGCAATAAGCCATCTCACACCACAATATTCATTCTTTCTTATTTTCTCTCCATCTTTCCATCTTTCCATCTCTCTGTCTCTGTCTCTCTTTGCCTCTGTTTGTCCTTTTCCCCATCCGCAATAACTTCATCCTCCAATTTCTGGGTCCCCCTTCCCTGCTGATCACAATATGGACTGAATGAAAATGACCCACAGGATTAGGCTTATCAACTCACCCAGATTTCAAGAAGGTTATCTAGATTTGTCTCAGTTGCTCCCAACTTCATTGTAGAAGCATTTTTCTTGTTGGGTTTTTGGGGAGCAGAGCTCAGGGGGTTGGATAGGGTACACTACTCCACTAACCTAAGAGCAGAGGAATAAAAAGAAACACAACTCCTGAAAATATCCTGAATGTAAAACATATTTAGATGGCATACTGAGAGACTGGGGACCTTAGTATGCAGAAGAAATACTCAATCATTTAGGAAAAGTATCCAAGGGTCCTCTGAATGGGCTGAGGGGGATGAGAACCAATATTTAGTTTGTCAAGGATCATCTCTGAGAATGTTCAATTTCCTGGCCCTTTCTTACCTCTTTTTGATTTGTCAGATAAATAAGACAAAAGAGGAGACAGGTTGGGGTTAGTGAAAACAGCACTAGATTTGGAATCAAAGAACTTGGGTGTGAGTGTTGGCTCTGTTATCTACCACTGGTGTGATTTTGGGAAAGTTGCTTCACCTCTCTGGGCATGCGTTCTCCCTAAAATGAGGATGTTGGACTTGATCCGTGAGATCTTGTCTAAATTCTCTGATCCTGTGTGATTTGTCCACTGTCACAGTGAGCATCTGAGCTGGACAGAATCCCAGGTCTTTGTTCTCTACACTACAGTGTTCTCAACACCTTGTCTGCTTCAATGGCTATGTGAAGGTCACTGCTTTCAAACTGCTCCTAAGCCATTTGGAACTCCCAGAACGAGATAGTCATTTCCTTTTCTACATTAGTGATTCTGTATCCTATTTGTATGTCAGTGTTCAGAGAAGTCCAAGAGATTTTCTGATTTCTTCACTTCATACTCATACACATAGAGAGTCCTAAATTGTGGTCATTTTAAAAAGGATTATAAACCTCACACAAGAGATCAGAGATGCTGCAAAAAGATATGGGAAAGCAGGGATAGAAAAAAAAATAAGAGACAGGCAGAAAGCCCTACAAGGTGGCAACTACTTATCCATGGTCTCGTGTTGGTGCAAGGTGAGGGGTAAATATGAACAAGAGCTCCCATACTTACTTGGCAGCACTGTCACTCGGGTCCCCTTTCCAAAAAAATAGTGTCTGTCTCCATAGCTCACACTCTGGGTCACTGCCTTACAAAAAGGCTAAGGTACTGCCCCCACCATATGATAGGCTGCAATGTGTTAAGCTGTATCAAGAGTTTTACCTCTCTGCCAGACCCTGAAGCAGAAAAAGCTGATCCTGAAGACCAAAAGATGTTTGTAATGAGTGGTGTCTAGAGATGGAGAAATGATGGCTTTAAATTCATCCATCATACCATCAGTGCTACTACTGGCTATTATTTTTTCTTATTATGATATCTATCTGCTCATAAATATAACCTCTCACAATTTCCTAGAAGTTCAAAATTTTGTCAAAACACCATAGAGAAAATTTACCGTCTCTGTGACTTCCCAGACCAATACTAACTTTCTTGGCTTTACTCCCCAATATATGTTAATCCCTCCTATTAGTTAGAAAGTGATCTTGAGGATAAGGACTGTCTCACTTTTTATATTTTCATTTCCAGGGCTTAGTATAGTGCCTACTTCATAGATGCTTTTTTATCCATTCAGGGCGAGGTATATCTGTGTACATATGGATAGACATGCCACCACTGATCTGCCCCATCTCTGCCATTTTGGTGAAGAAGGCACCATCTTATCACTGTCTTACTTTGCCATGGCTGAGGCAGAGTGAGAACATCTTCAGCAATTTTTTACTGAGACATAAAATAAAAACACAAGTGTAGCACGACTTGGAGCCAATGTGTCCTTTTCTATATCTGAATAAGATTCTTGGGTGACTCATTTGTGACTCATTCATGTATTTCTTGTTGCCTCACTTACTAGGGTGGTCCCCCACACCCTATACCAGAGAAACATCTCAGGGAAGGATATGGGTCTTTCAGTTCTATTTAGGAAAGTTATTAAATTGAACTATTTTCATTCTATACCCAAGGAGGAATGGACAGGCAAGAGATAATGTACATAAAAATACTTTGAAAAACTATAAAAGTCTAATAAAAATATATGATATTATCATAACTGTACAATATGCTATAAAACCCAGTAAAGGTCTTGCCTTGCCATGTGGACGTGACCCTTTACAAAATGGTACCCTGGAAGACAACATGCATACAACTATGTACAAACAAGGATTAGAAAGGATACATTGGAGATAGTAACAGAAAGACACCATTTCTTTTTTAGTAATTACAATAATCAGACCCAATGATACACATAATACTAAATCCAGAAAATCAGTCTCTCTCACAGAGTGTCTGTGAAGACTTACTATATTTTCACCTCTACTTAACCTGAATCTCTTGACCAACAGTATTATGAATATAACAAGTTATCAGTTCTAATTTATTTCCTCTTTTAAATAACATCTCATCCTTTATTAGGAAATATCTTTCCCCTTAAGCAAAATACAAGCCAGGTTATCTCACAGAACTTACTTGTTTCAACAATCAGGCTAGTTCCTTTTCCAAAGGAGGCTTTAAAATTTGCTGTGCTTCCCATAGTGATTTTTACTGCAACAAAATGGGCAATTTCATCCCTCCCTTTCTACTTATACACCACAGCTAGAGAGCTGGCCCTTTTATGGGAAGTAAGGTTTGAGAGAAGAAACTATTAATAAATAGCATTTTAAACACTTCCTTTGTGAGGTATATTTAGGTTTTTGGTGAAGTCTACAGTATCCCATTAACATATGTTCTCTGATGTTCCCTTCTTGCTCCTTTCTCAGTCAGGATTTTTTGTGCTCTATATTAGCTCTCAAAGTCATATCCCTCATATTGTCTCCCCTCTTAATCTATATATTTTTGTGGCTAGAGCTTTCTTTCCCCCCCTTTTAAATAGCATTTCATTTTTTTTCCAATTGCATGCAAAGACAATTTTAAACATTTTTTAAAATAAAATTTTGAGTTCCAAATTTTTTTCATCCTCCTCTTCTTCCTAAGAGGCTAGAGCTTTCAATGCTGGAGGCTCCCAGTCTCAGAATAAGACACTGCTCCACCTCAGGATGGTCAGCATCTATGATTATGAATATTCCTGTCCTTGGATCTATACAAAGAAATGGCATGTATAGGATGTACTCACTGGATGACACCCAGAGCCATGTCCCTCTCCCGAAGGTCAATCTTCCTGTGCTGACTCCCTCACTGTGTCACAAGACTTTATAGAAACTCCTTCAAGGTACAGGGGCATTTTTGGTTCCCTGTATATAGCTCTAAAGAGGGCCAGCTCTTCTTTGATTCAAGGAATGCAAACTTGAATGGAAAAATAATAAAGGCTACAAGGATAGCTATTACACAAGCAAGTTCTACAAATCTTTGGGAGAGGGACACAGAGGAAGGGAGACAGACCCTGTTCTAAAGGGATCCTTTAGAAATATTAGGGGCATGAGACCTCATTTCTCAGTGACCTTATTGATGAGAAAGCTAAGGATAGACTAAAAATTAATTCATGTACAATACATATATTTGTGATTTGCAAGGGCTCCACAGACATTCTTTATCTCATTTGATCTTCATAACAAGATAGGTAGTGCAAGTGGTATAAGTGGGGAAAAAAGCACTGGTTTTGGATTCCAAGGCCCTGGGTTCAAATTCCACTTCTGGGCCTCAGTTTCTTCATTTGTAAATGTAGGTGCTTGCCTAGATGGCTTCTGAGGTCCCTTCTCCATCTACAATCCCATGACATATTTATTGTTATACACATTTTACAAATGGGTAAACTA